ATTCCTGAATAACGCTGGAGCAAGACTCCTGAGTGATGTCAAGGATTCGACAGGAGCGCTTCCTTTCGCTTCCCTCCGTTGGTGACCACCACGAAGAGTTCTTTTACACCATAAAGACAAAAAAAGACAGGAGAGGACTACAGAAATGAAGTTTCAAAGTTGGAATGCAGACACTCAAGTGGCAACTGACCACAGATTCTCCGAAGCTGGCCATGGAGAAAGCCAAGCAACACGATCTGTACCACAGAACCCTCAACAATTCAAGAACTTGTGGCACGAGAAGCCTCTGGAAGAATAGGGTCAAGAAGAATCCAAGGGTCAGCCTGTGGGATGGTGATTAGGGCAGCTGGATCCCACGTGGCCCGCCGCGGTTCATGTCCCAACCCAGAAGCTTGAGAGACACACAGTGCGTGTGGACGTGCACGCCCAACATCCCCAAAGGAGGGAGAAATGGAGAAGGGATTGCGCATGACCATTCTCATCAGGCAATGTCTTCTCCCTCTCTCTCTCACATGCACCCTCTAGCAAATTGTGGGTTTTTTTCTCTTTTAATTACAAAAAAAAAAAAAAAAAAAAAAAAGATGAGTCCAAAGACAGAAACGTTGGTTGCTAAGAATAGTCGGATCCTCAGATCCCACTTCCACTCATGACTACACGCTGCCCCTTCAACCCCACAGAACCTCAGTTAATTCCTAAAGAAGCTAAAATAGAGGGGCCATGGGGGCAGAGCAGTTAAGACCCTGCATTTCCACCTGGCAACTTGCTTTCTCGCTTTCCCTCCCTCTTCCTCTCTCCCTCCCTCTCTCCCTCTCTTCCTTCCTCCCTCCCTCTGTTGCTCTGTGGTCAAACTGAAAAAATGATGACGACGACTAAGATGAAATAATCCTTTAAAAAGTTAGCTAAAATAGCGAGCTTCTGGGCAGGAAGCAGGAGAATTCAAGGGCACAGGAACCACATGGAAATAGGAATGAAGAATAGTACACTAAATACAGGAAATCTCCCACCTGCAACTCTCTTCCCTTTGTGGCTTCCAGAAAATTGGTGGTCAGAACTACTGGGTTGTCGGAAAAGTCAAGATGTATTTTTCTGTGCAAAAATGGGCCATGACTTTCCGACCACCCGATGCATGCTCCAGCCTGAAAGGTAAGATGTTCGTCCAGGGACTGACTGGCTGGAAACAGCCCCATTAGACCACCCTCCGCTGGCCAGCGCCACCCACCGCTCTGGACCCTCAAGCAGTGAGAACAACTCCAGGAGGCCACTTACTGAAAGACAGATAAAAACGCAGGTAGAGGGACCACCAGAGGACGTTGGGTTTCGTTGCTGGACTCCCACATAGTCCACTCAATTGAGGTCCAGACCCCAGACCCACGGCGTAAAACTCACGCCAAACACATGCTTGCGCCCAAGATTCTGAGAGGAGGGATTGCCTGGCCATCCCCCTGGGGTGATTGCTCACTTTCTGTCTCTCTCACCAGCGCACGCACCCTACCACAAAGATCTGTCTTAAAAACAAGGGGAGATTTAGGGTTGGTGTAATGACTATGTCGCTGGACTCCCATGTAGTTGACCACGGTTCGAGTCCCGGACCCAGTGACTTAAACTCATGCCGGGTGCGTGTGCAAGCATGCCCAAGATCCCGAGAGGAGAATGGAGGAGAAGGGATTGCAGCATGGCCATACCCCTAAGGGGTGAGTTCTTGCTTTCTGTCTCTCTGTCTCTGTCTTTCTGGCAAGCGCACACGCCCGATAGCAAAAACCTCTTCAGAAAAAAAATACAGGGGCTGGCAGGTGGCATGGTGGTTAAGGGTGCTAGACTCCCAAATGGCAAACCCAGGTTCGAATCCTGGGCCTGGAGGCTTGCCACTTTCTCACTCTGTCCCTCCTTAGTCAAATAAAAATAAAATAAAATAGATAAAGCTAAATAAAATAATTATTAAAAACAAACAAACAGGGAACCAGCAGTTAGCGTAATGGCTATGTCGCTGGACTCCCACGTAGTTGACCGCGGTTCACGTCCCGGACCCGGTGGCTTAAAACTCACGCTGGGCGCGTGTGCGTGCGTGCCCAAGATCCTGAGAGGAGAATGGAGGAGAAGGGATTGCGGCGTGACCATCCCCCCTGGGGGGTGATTTCTCGCTTTCTGTCTCTATGTCTCTGTCTGTCTGGTGAGCGCACGTGCCCTACAGTGAAAATCTCTCAAAAAAAGAAAAAAAAAGTCAATCTTGCCTTCTTCATTCCCCATGGGCATTGCGTCGAGGCGAGCTGCCGTGGGCACCGCGCCCACCCCACTGGTCCCCGCTCCATGCTGGACCGCGTAGAGCTGCCCTCCGGCCAGCGTTCCGCTCAGCCCACCTCGAGTGTTCTTCCTCTTGGGCCAGTCGGTAGCATGGTGGTTAAGGTGCTGGACTCCCATATGCACGGCTTACAGTGGCTCAAGGCCCAGACCAGGCAGCTTGCTTTCTCACTTTCCCTTTCTCTCTCTAGTCAAATTAAGATAATAACAACAACAAATAGAATTAAATAAATAACTCTTTATTTAAAAAATAAAAAGAAAGAAAGAAAAAATACCAACTTGGAGAAAACAGACTATAGAAAGAGAAAATGTATTATTACACTCAGGAAGATAAAAGGAAACATACTCATGAAGGACTAGCATAGTATCGTTAGACCAGAGAACAAAAGCGCTCTCTGACATGAAATATACAGATAATCGTGTGCGCATATCTATATGATAGAGCAGAAATGAACATCAACAGGAGGCCTGCAAGACAGACAGAGACAGAGAGACAGAAAGCGAGAAATCACCCTCCCAGGGGAGATGGCCACACCACAATCCCTCGGCATGCACGCACATGGCCTGGCGTGAGTTTAGGCCACCGGGTCTGGTACTCGAACAGCAGTCAACTACATGGGAGTCCAGTGACACAGCCATTGCGCCAACTACTGGTCCCCGTTATTATTATTATTATTATTATTATTAAAGTATGAATTTATTTTGGTACAAAAACTTTTTGAAATTCGTACATAGTTTTCCCATTACATGGATTTCCAAGAGCTCTTTTATTTTTGGAAACATTTCCTTAATTACATTCATTCCCTGAGCATCGTCACAGCATACTAAATGGGATTTCCCATCCAGAATAAACTGCATAGTGGCTTAGTCATGCATGTTATCGTCAATCATTTTCCATTTCTAGTACCATGTGTGTGTGTGTGTGCATATATATATATCTCTGCCCTTTCCCACCCTCTTCTCACACTATCTCTGGTGTCTACAGTTGTCTTCCATTCCTTCCCCCCACATTTTATTGATCACACAATTTCTTAAATAATCTAACTACTTTCAATAGCAAGTTCTGCGGGTAATTTCAAGAAAAGCAGTTTTAACTTTAATAAATCAAAGAAATGCTAAGAACTTTGCTTAAAACTTAAAGCCAGGAGACAGGTTAGGATTCTGTTCAAATAGGAGGTACATGAACCTATCGACAGCTCAAGACAGGACAAAAACCCTTAAAACCGGACAACAAAGCCTAGAAGGAAATCAGCAATGTTTTAGTCAAAAGTCATAAAATGCTATTTCACCAGTTCAGTTTCATGTACTTAATCTATCTTCTGTTGTGGTTCGAGCTTCCCGATTGAATTCTGGGGTATAATATTCAACTCCAGACTTGTCTCTACAATTAAGTTGCTCATTTTCTTAAGTTTCTGAAATCTTATTTCCATGTGTCTGTATTTAATTTTCCTGGTATATCACTCCCTTGAGAACTTGTTGGAGATCTGGTCTCGTGTTGATAAGTTCTTTCAGGTTTTGTTTATCTGAGAAGGTTCTTGTCTTTCCTTTCCATACGAAGGATAACCTTGCCGGGTACAATATTCTTGGTTGAGATTGCTTTTCCCTTTAAATATTTTCCCATTCTTTCCTCGCTCGCGTTGTTGGTCCCCGTTATTATTATATTTTAATGTGACCAGATAGAGGGAAAGAACAGGAAAGCGAGAAAGCGAGCCGCCAGATCCAGGACTCGAACTGCAATCAGCCATGTGGCAATCTAGCGCCTTCAACCACCATGCCACCTGCTAGCCCCAAAGCCACCCATCAGGCCCTCGAACTGAGGTTGGCTATGTGAGAGTCCAGCACTATAACTACTACACCATCTGCTGGCCCCTAGACCTTCTATGCTCTTCCATTGTCTATTTAGTTATTTTTGTACCAAAAGTTTAAGTTTGTCACCTGAAACCCAGGCGGAGCTAATAAGCTCCCTGTCTTTTTTCTTAAGCTGGCCTTGGCTCTTCTTGGTCATCAGCATTTCTAAAATGTCCTAGTCTGAGGATTAACTAAACGTTAAAGACTTTTTCTACATATTTAGATGTATACATACATACATAGAGATAGAGAGAGAAATCCGTGAACCCTGTTAACATGGTAGATCAGGTTGATTGTTTTTATGGTTACATCAACAATGCATTTCCAGAATAAAAGCACTTGGCTACAGGGGCCGAACAGTGGTGCAGCAGTAAAAGGTGACACTGCAAGGCTGACCCACATGGGCAGGTTCCAGGTTCACGTCTGAGACCTCCATGAGAATGCTGGGCATGTGCACGCCCATGAGCCAAGGCTGGCCGAGCTAGGGGTGGATCACGGTGTCAGGACCCTGCGGAGGGAGCTCCCCCTCTCACTCGTGGAAGAAATAAACAAAAGATCGCGATGTATTGTTTTTACATATTGCTAGATTCTGCTTACTAATATTTTATTAAGGATTTCTGTGTCACATGTTCATTGGAGGTGTAGGTCCTGCTTAGCTGACCTGGCCTATATTCCCTTCTCTCTTCATTATTATTTAATTTGCTAGAGTGTATGTGCGCTCATCAGAGAGAGGCAGGGGAGGAAGAAGGGAAGGGGAGAGGAGAAAGTGAGAAGCCAAGTCGCCGCCAGGTCAGGACTCAAACCACCAGGTCAGGACTCAAACCGTGGGGTCTGCCATGTGGGAATCCAGTGCCTTAACCATTGTGCCACCTGCCAGCCCCTCCCTTAACTCTTTGATTGCTTTCTTTTTTTCTTTGTTGCCAGAGGGTGTGTGCACTTGCCAGACAGAGAACCCCCCCGAAAAGAGCATGTCGCGCCACAATCCCTCCCCCTACATTCTTCCCCATTGTCAGGATTTGGGGGTTCTTCCTTTTTTAAAAATAAATTTGCCATAGGGCACATAAGCTTGCAAGAGAGCGAGTGAGCAAGAGAGACCAAAAGTGAAGGGGCACTTCCAGGGGAGATGGTCATGTAATCCATTCTCCTGTTGGGATTGTGGGCATGTACACACACACATCTAGCACGTTTTTCAAGCAGCCGGGTCTGGGACTTGAATCACACAGCCATGTGGGACCCAACTGCCTTAACCACATCACCGGCCAGCCCATCCTGCCAGTATTATGGACACACACACACACAGCATGCTCTTCAATCTGCCAGGGCCAGGACTTCCTGTACAGTCAACCACATGGGATCTGACTCCCATAACTGTGCGGCCACGCACCAAGCCCGTGCCAGCTCTTCATCTGCTAGATTTTTTTTTTTATTTTATTTTTAAAATTTATTTATTTTGGGGAGAGGTTTTTTGCTATAGGGCACATGTACTCCCCAGAAAGAGAAAGACAGAGACAGAAAGCAAAAAACTGCAACCCCCGAGGGGAGATGGCCACGGTGTAATTCCTTCTCTTCCATTCTCCTCTCGGGATCTTGGGCACGCACGCACACGCGCCCGGTGTTGAGTTCAAGCCACCGGTTCTGGGACGCGAACCGCAGTCGGCTACATGGGAGTCCAACGACAGAGCCATTACACCAACTGCTGGTCCCTATCTGTTAGATGTTCTATTACTCCATTTATCCCTCTTTATTAGTTTGGAAGTGATAATCTTTTTATCCTTCAGTCATGGTTACCCTAGAGATTACAGCAGGTCGTTGAGAGTCATCAAAAATCTACCATTAACTGGTATTTTCACCTTCTTCCTGGACAGTAAGAACCTTCGGAATAACGAACTCCATATTCACTCTACTCACGCTTGTAACATTGTTCCCAAGCATTTGTTTTTGTATGTATTTTAAAATTAATAAAGCACGGTATTCGTCTCATATATGCCTGAATATTTATCAATTTCATTGCTCTTCAATCTTCTCTACCTCCCCAACCTTCTCCTGGATCATTTTCCTTCCACCTAGAGGACATCTTTTTAAACATTTATTTATTAGACTTTGTCGGAGGGTGCACGCGCTCACCAGACACAGGGGAAGTGAGAAAGCACGCTTCCCAGGGAGTGGTCACACAGCCGTCCATTTTCCATCACCCTCTGCTTTCGGGATTGTGGGTACGCACACACAGGTGCCTAGTGTGTTCCTCAAGTCGCCAGGTTTGGGACCTGAACCGCAGTGGGCACGTAGGATCCAGGTCCCTTAACCACCATGCCATAGGCTGGCCCAACATAGACATTCTTGAAAGATAGTTTATCATGATCAAGAACTTTAAGTTGACAGCTACCAGCATTTCTTTCCGTAACTGAAGTTATCATCCTATGGCCAGCCTAATGGCATGGTGGTTAAGGTTCGGAGTTGACTTAACTTTCAGAGTTGAAATGGAAAGGCCAGACCACAGGAACACTGCAAATTCAACAGAAGAGAGGTTAACCACGTGAGTCTGAACTAATGGAATAGAATTTTTTATTTTATTTATTTATTTATTTATTTTTGGAGAGGCTTTTTCACTATAGGGCGCGTGCGCTCGCCAGACAGACAGAGACAGACATAGAGACAGAAAGTGAGAAATCACACCCCAGGGGGGTTGGCCACACCGCAACCCCTTCTCCTCCATTCTCCTCTCGGGATCTTGGGCACGCACGCACACGTGCCTGGTGTGAGTTTTAAGCCACCGGGTCCGGGACTTGAACCGCGGTCGACTACATAGGAGTCCGCGACATAGCCATTACGCTAACTGCTGGTTCCTAGAATTTTTTTTTTTTTGAGAGGTTTTTGCTATAGGGCGCATGCGCTCGCCAGAAAGACAGAGAGAGACAGAGACAGAAAGTGAGAAATCACACCCCAGGGGGGATGGCCATGCCACAATCCCTTCTCCTCCATTTTCCTCTTGGGATCTTGGGCACGCACGCACACGCGCCTGGGGTGAGTTTAAGCCACCAGGTCCGGGACTCGAACCACGGTCGACTCCATGGGAGACCAGCAAAATAGCCATTACGCCAACTGCTGGTCCCATGAAATAGAATTTTTTTACATTAGACTAAAACATTACTGATTTTCTTCACTGCTTTGATTTGCATATTTAAGGATTTTTGTCTCCTCTTGAACTGTTTGATAGGTTCATCTACCTACTATTTGAACTGAATCCTAACCTTTTTCCTGACTTTAATTTTTAAGCAAATTTTTCTTAAAATTTTTAAATTTTGATCTATCAAAACTAAAACTTTTTTTAAATAAAAAAATACATTAAAAATACCTATTAATACCTATCTAATGACTGCAGTAAGCTATGTAGCCCCAGCGAGGTGCTACTTTATAGTGTGTTCACTTTACTCACTGAGGGTTACACCTAAAGTCAGACATGCATTCATAAATATGTATATGTCAGCTGTGCTTGCTATTCAAAGTCTTTAAATTAATTAAAATCTTTAGTGAATCAATAAAATGTGGAGGGGAAAAAAGGTACAGAAAACAACTAAAAGTACCAGAGAGTGTGGGAGAAGAAGGGAATTGGCAGAGGGTAAGAAGTAGGGTCTCAAGCGGGGTGGGGGAAGCAAAATATATAAGAAACAAGAAATAGAAAATTATTTGTTGATGATAACATGTGTGGTAATATCCTTGACTGAGCCAATATACAATGTATACTGTGAATGACGGTGAATAAAATTTTTTTTAAAGTTATATTCTTGGGTTGGCAGGTGGCGTGGTGGTTAAAGGTGCTGGATTCCTACATGGTCGACCTGAGTTCAAGTCCCAGACCTGGCAGCTTGCTTTCCTGCATTCCCATTCTCTATCTCTCTCTGGTAAATTTTAAAAAATAATAATAACAGCTCTTTTCCACTATACAAGATGGCAGGTGAAAAAGCTGTGAAGCAGGACACTAAGGAGAAGAAACCTGAAGCCAAGAAGGCTGATGCCAGTGGAAGGTCAAACAGGATGACCCCAAGGCTAAAAAGCCCAAGAAGGGGAAGCCCCATTGCAGCCGAAGCCCGGTCCTAGTCCGGGGCATCTGCAGATACTCCCAGTCTGCCATGTATTCCGAGAAGGCCATGTACAAGAGGAAATACTCGGCCACTAAATCCAGGACTGAAAAGAAAAGGGAGAAGGTTCTTGCAACTGTCACAAAACCAGCTGGTGGAGACAAGAATGGTGGCACCCGGGTGGTTAAACTGCACAAAATGCCTAGGTATTACCCTACTGAAGATGAGCTTCGAAAGCTGTTGAGCCACGGCAGAAAGCTCTTCAATCAGCACGTGAGAGAGCTGCGAGCCAGCATCACTCCTGGGACCATTCTGATCATCCTCACTGGACCCACAGAGGCAAGAGAGTGGTTTTCCTGAAGCAGCTGAGCAGTGGCTTGCTACTTGTGACCAGATCGCTGGTTCTCAATCGAGTTCCACTGCCTAGAACACACCAGAAATTTGTCATCGCCACCTCCACGAAAATTGATATTAGCAAAGTAAAAATCCCAAAGCACCTTACCCATGCTTACTTCAAGAAAAAGAAACTGCGGAAGCCCAGACACCAGGAAGGTGAGATTTTCAACACAGAGGAGGAGAAATACGAGATTTCAGAGTAGCGCAAGATTGATCAGAAAGCTGTGGATTCGCAAATTTTACCAAAAATCAAAGCTCTTCCTCAGCTCCAGGGCTACCTGCGATCCGTGTTTGCCCTTACAGAGAGTTTATTCTCACAAATTGGTGTTCTAAATTTTTTGCCAAGAACCTAATTAAATAACTGATCATATAAAAATAATAACAAATGGAATTAAATAATTTTTAAAACGAGCTAAAAAGAAGTTATATTCTATTGCTTTCATCATTTCTAGCTATCAGTATAGCTCTTTTTTTAAAAATGATTTATTTATTTAATTTTATTTATTCAGTCATTTATTTTAATTTGACCAGAGAGACAGAGAGAGAGAGAGAGAGAAAATGAGAAAGCAAGCCACCAGGCCCGAGATTTGAACCGTGGTCAGACATGTGGGAGTGTCCAGCACCTTAGCCACCATGCCACCTGCTGGTCCCCCCAGTATAGCCCTTTCAATGGTATGGCAGGGGGGGGGTGGGAGGGGGGGGGGGGGGGTTTAACCTTTTTTTTTTTTTTTCCCCCCAATTCTTCGTTTTTTAAAAAACCCAACCATCAGGCTGTTCACAAAAATAACCCACAGTATCAACTTTAGAAAACAAATCGTAAGAGTATTACACTATTTTCTAGACGATGCATTTGAAATGCCAACTCCCATTCACAAAAATACACTGTTACATTTGTGTTGAACAGTCCCACAGGAACTCTAATGTGGGGCGTAAGACATACTTCGAACTCAAAGCTGCTCTCAGGTGCTACTCGACTCAATGATACTGCCTTTGCAGTTAGGGAAGCAACTACTGACTCATAAATGAATGAAAAGAACTGTACTCCCTGCGTAACAAGAGATTATTTTGGAGACAGTTGATAAAAATCATACATCCTTTTTATTGTTAAGTCATAAAGAGGTATCAAAATTAAAAGCAAAATTACAGGGTAAGACTTAACAAAACTACTAGGAGCATCTAAAGAAGTGAGATGGGACCAGGCGCAGGGCAGTATGAATTAATGAACGTGGGAAGGACAAAGATGGGGAGGACAGGGAGCATGTGCTGAAGACACCAGGGAGAGGATCTGGGGGAAATTTTGATCTTAGACAAGTGCCTAGGTTAAGAAATAATGGGTAAGATTTCTAAACCCCAGCTGTGCTTAAGAGTCATCCTCTCCTTCCTCAGCCTCTTTTTCATCATCCTTGATCAACTCCAGCTGGTCATCCCCCCGATCTTCATTATCATCATCATCCAGTAGGTCCCCCTCCTCAGCAGAGTCATCTGCACCCCCCTCAGACTCCATCTTCACATTAGTCTCATCTTTCTTCTGGGAGCTGCTGCTCTGCTCCTCTTCTGACTTATCATTCTTCACCTCTGTGTGCTCTGCTCCTTTTCGATTTTTTCCAGGTTTTCCAGAAGAGAATCCACTTTTTGTTTTATCTGGGTCATCTCCTTTCAACTTTCCAGACCTGGATGACGATCCTCGTTGTCCCCTCTTAGAATTGAAGCTTTTGCCCCTCCGTGAAGTGTTTCCCGACACACGCTGGTTTCGAGGGCACTACAGCACGAGCAATAGGAGGTGGCGGTGGAACACGTGCTGGGTAACTGTGCATCCTGTTACAATAATCGCGTTGAAAGGCATAGTCCAAATCAAAAGAGGAGCTGAGCAGAGGGCACGGAGAAGGGTGTTCTGGTACTGACCCGTACATCTCCGCTGCAGCTCGTCTCACCCCTGCTTTTCCTCGGTTCCCTTTTGGCTCTGCAGCCAGATTAATGTCTAAAACCTGGCCAGCAATCATCCTGCCAGCCTCTCCTGCCACAGCAGCCCGGGCATTCCTCTCATGAACATACTGAACGAAGGCAAAGCCCTTATGAACAGAGCGACCCACGATTTCGCCAGACTTCGAGAAGATTGCTTCCACATCAGACTTTGTGACCACAAGAGTGTTGAGATGCCCAGTGACTACACGGGAATTCATGGAGCGAGGTTCTCTCTTGCTGGTAACATGGCTGGCCGTTGCGACTGATGGTAAGATTCCTCACAAAGCCAAAAAGTGTAGCTGAAGATCAAAAAAAATCTCACAAGAAGGTGAGGGAAAAGAGATTCGATTCTGAACCTCTCGCTCCCAAGTTCAAGGCAAAGAAACCGACTGCAGCTGGAGGTAGGAAACGGGGCCACAACCGCTCCGTCTCCAACTCTTCACAAAATGGCCGTATAATGCCTTTTTCCCCTAGCTTTGGTAAGATTCCCTCTGGCCCGGCCTGATGGTATAGTCAGTAGCAGACTAAATGGCAGTGATGGGGCCACACGGCTGACTGCAGGTTCAGACCCTTAGGTTGGCTTGAAAAGAAAACACTGGTGTGCACACGGGTGCAGGCCCAAGATCCTGGCAAGCTGGAGGGCTGGGCAAGGAGACTGCAGCGTGACAAGACCCTGTCATGGGTGCCCCTCTCTCTCTCTCTCTCATGTACATGCACGTGTTATCATGAATAAAATAAACTTTTTAAAAAAGGGATTATCGATCTTTGCTTTTCAGAATGTTTACTGTGATGGGAACAAGTACGGTTACTTTTTCTTTCTTTTTCAATGACCGTTCCTGGGATTGAAAGGACTTCTGAAATCTGTGGCCTGATGTCTTTCATCAGTTTTAGAAAGTTATCAGTTATTCTTGCTTCTGCCTCATTCTCTGTCCTGTACTTCGGTGGCTGTGATTACATGAAACTTAGACCTTCTAACTTCACTCTCTGAGTCTTTTTCTTCTGCATTATCCTTTTTTTTTTTTGGCCTCTCCATGGTTCAATCTATTTTCTCGAAAGTGCCACCCAATCCACTATTTCTCTGATCAGCTGCACCCACACACCTAGTAAAACCATTCGTAAATTCTTAATTTGTTAATTTACAGAGTAATTCTATAACAGAGATTTCCTTTGGCTTTTTTGAGAGTTTTTAGTTTCCTCCTGAAACACCTCGTCTTTCCATCTCCTTGACTACGATGAGAACTGTTATTGTAAAATATGTACATGGGGCCGGCCTGTACCCTGGTGGTTAAAGGAGCCAGGTTCCACATGGCTGACCACACGTTTGAATCTCAGTCCCAGTGGCTAGGAAGCTGTGCCAGTGCATGTGTGTATGAGCCCCAAATCCTGTAGTAGGACCACACCCCATGTGGAGAGGGTGCTTTCTTCCTCTCTCTCTCTCTCTCTCTCTCTCTCTCTCTCTATCTCTCTGGGGAGTACTAGCAAGCATTTTGGCACAACGGAAAAAACTCATACATTAGAGAAAAATTTAAGAACTGATGATCTATGATCCCATTTATTTAAAATATTTCTAGCACTGGACTGGCCTCATGGCCTGGTGGTTAAGGGAACCTGCTCCCACATGGCCAACTACAGTTTGAATCCCGGTCCCAAGAGCTTGAAAAACACCCTGGACACACGTCTATGTGCCCCGAATCCTAACAGGATGGAGAGACAGAGAAGGGATTGCGGCTTGATCGAGTCCCTCTGAGGGGTGCTTCCTGCCTCCTCTTTCTGTCCCTGGAGAGCACATGCACCCACTGGAGAGTCATTTATAAATAAATGTTAACTCCAATCTGGAACTCACCCACGTCTCCTTCAATTGTGACATTTCTGCTGTGCTGCTTATTACAATCGTTAGCCAGGCGCTGTTTGCAAAATGATGTGTGGAAATAATCTGAGGCCTAAGATGTAAACCCTCTAGAATAAAGTTTACGTGTGCTTCTGGTAGGCAGCTAAGGGGACTGTTAATCCCAGAACACTCAAATCCAACTTTAGGGTGTGTCTGCTTTTAGGTTCCCCTCGCCACCAGGCCTCTGGGGTCCAGACCCAGAAGGAGAGGTTGACTTAGACTCAGCCTCTGCTTACGACTCCAGCTGCTGTCTTCCTGGTCCCCGCAGGCTACCAAGTGCAATGGTCAAGTCTTAGTCCACTGCTTGGCTAACAGAATACGTGACGCTGGATGATTTTATAAAGAGATATAGGCTTGGGACCAGCAGTTGGCGTAATGGCTATGTCTCTGGACTCTCATTTAGTCGACCACGGTTCACGTCCCAGACCCAGTGGCTTAAAACTCACGCCGGGCGCGTGTGCATGTGTGCCCAAGATCCCGAGAGGAGAATGGAGGAGAAGGGATTGTGGTGTGGTCATCCCCCCTAGGGGCTGATTCCTCACTTTCTGTCTCTCTGTCTCTGTCTTTCCAGCGAGTGCACGCGCCCTATAGCAAAAATCTCTCAAAAAAAAAGGAGAGATTCAAAAAAGGTCATAAAGACAATCCTCCAATTCTGGTTTGAGCTAGTTTCCTTTAAGATGAGGAAATGGGGCCATCCTATGGCCAGGTGAATAAAGGAGTGTGTGGTTCAAATCCTGGTCCCAGTGTTAAAAAAAAAACGTGTCAGGGACATGTGTGTTTCCAAAATCCTGACAGAATGGAGAAGAGATTGTGATGTCCCCATGGGGCTGGGGAGGGGGGTTCTCCCTCTCCCTCTCTGGCAAGCACATGTACCCTCTGGCGAATTATAAAAGTAAGGGATTCCTGGAGTACGCACACACAAAGAAAAGGCCACGCGAAGTCACAGCAAGAGGGCAGACTTGTGCCCAGGCGACAGGTCGCACCTGGAGTCGACCCGCCAGCACCTTCACTGTGGACTTCCGGCCGCCAGAACTGTGAGGAAATTCATGTCTGCTATGTGAGCCTCCGAGGCAGTGGTACTCCCGTGTGACAGCCTACGCGGGGCTAAGCACAACCAACACAGTCCCCGTCCCCTGCCCAGTGTGGGGGACACCGACTGCAGCATCACCCGCACTCCAATGTTCTACGAAGCAGGACCTGCCCAGCGGGCTTCCTCCAGAAACCCAGGAAGCAGGCATGGAAGAGGAGGCGGTATGCAGGAGGAGACAAGGAAGCAGGGCTTGAGCCACGTCGTCCCACACTGCCTTCCCGAGCTTTTCAGCCAGTCGTGGCAGGATGGTATGAGGAAAGAAGGCACAAGCTCAGCCAGGAATAGAACTTGCCAGAACCTCTCCTGTCACGAGAAACTTCCGCCAGACGAGGAAGCGACTCTTCTCCAGGTTTCTCCACCCCCAGCCCATCATCACCACGTGTGAAATCAGGGCGTTGCCACCAAGATCTGGCAAGTGCACCGGGCTCACGGATGGTGCCCTGATGCCCTGAGCTCTTCGGTGACCTGCAGCAGATGGCCTGGTCTCCCTGGAGGGCAGAGGCAGCGTGGAGCAGAGGGAGTGAGTACATGCACACACGCACGCGGACACACACGCAGACACGCGCACAACCGCCCACGCCCAGACCAAACCAGACCAGCACATCCTCACGGTCCACTGCCACGGCCCTTGCCCGCACAGTCGCCAGGAGACCTGGACAAGGGGCGCTGTCTCGCTCTCCTGAGACGTCAGCCAGTGGATGGGCGCCTTCTCCCTGTCCAGGTGCCTTTGAGGACTGGGGCTGTCCCCATCCTCTGTCCCCTAGCATTTCGGCAGCAGTGGACTGCTCAGACTGCAGGGGGCCAGCTGTCGTCTTACCCGCCTTCTGCCGACGTGGGCAGGGGCAAAAGAAAACAAACACACATAACACTACAGTTAACTCAGGACCTATTAAAATTTTACATACAGGGACCAGCAAGAGGTGTGGTGGTTAAGGCGCTGGACACTCCCACATGGCTGACCACGGGTCAAGTCCTGGACCTGCTGGCTTGCTTTCTCACTTTCTCTCTCTCTCTGTTTCTCTGTGTCTCTCTGGTCAAATTAAAAAAAAAAAAAAAAGGAAAAAAGAGGAGACCAGCAGTTAGCGTAACGGCTATGTCGTTGGACTCCCACATAGTTGACCACAGTTCGGGTCCCAGACCCAGTGGCTTAAACTCACGCCAGGCACGTGTGCATGCGCACCCAAGATCCCGAGAGGAGAACGGAGGAGAAGGGATCGTGGCTTTGCCATTCCCCCTGGGGGGTGATTTCTCACTTTCTGTCTCTCTGTCTCTGTCTGTCTGGCAAGCGCAAGCACCCTATACCAAAAACTTCTCCAAAACAAAAATAATAATAAAAATAAATGAATGAATAAATACAATTATAAAATAATTTTTTTACATACACATGTTTTTATAATCTATAAACCATTCTGGTCACCTTCCTTTCAGAAACAAGCGACATAAATAGTATACAGTCACAAAGTCCATCAATAAACAGGAGACTAGAAGAGATGGAGACGGTATGGAAACTTTGGAATTGTACACTGCTATTAGAAAGATCAAAGTACGTGGGGCCAGCAGGACTCCCACAGTGGTTTGGGTCCTGGGCCTGGCCATTTGCTTCCTAATTTTCTCTCTCTCTCTGTCCACCTCTGGTCAAATGGAAATAAATAAATAAATGAATGAATAAATACAGTTAAAAAAAAAAAAAAAGATCAAAGTAAGGGACCAACAATGGGTGTAATGGTTATGTCGATGGACTCCCACGTAGTCGGTCACGGTTCGAGTCCTGGACCAGCGACTTAAAACTCACGTCAGACACGTGTGCATGTATGCCCAAGATCCCGAGAGGTGAGTGGAGAAGGGATTGCGGCATGGGCATCCCCCTGGGGGTGATTTCTCACTCTCTGTCTCTCTGGCAAGTACACGTGTCCTATAGCAAAAATCTCTCTTAAAAAAAAAAACCAAAAAAACAAATATAGAACATGCAAGATCTACGTGAGCCAGCAGGTGTCATGGTGTTTCAGGCACTGGATCCCACATGGCCAACTCTGCAGTTCGAGTCCTGGACCCAGTGGTTTTGAAGCACACTGTGTGCGCCCGAAAAATCCCAAGAGGAAAATGGAGGAGAAGGGATTGCAGAGTGGCCATGCTCCCTGGGGGGGGGGGGTGATTTCTCACTTTTCCCCTTCTCTGTCTCTATCTGTTCCTCTCTGGCAAGTGCACACGCCCTATGGCAAATAAAATAAAATGAAAATAAAAGCATGGGTCAGCTAGGTGGTATGGTGGGTAGCTCGATCCTACATAGCTAACTGCCCAGTTCGAGTCCTGGACCCAGCCGCTTGAATAACATGCTGGGTATGTGTATGTGTGCCCAAAATCCTGAGAGGAGAATGAAGGAGGAGGGACTGTGGCATAGCCATCCCCCAGGGGGTGCTTAGTCACTCTGCCTCCCCCATCTCTCTATGGTGAGACGATGTACCCTACAGGAAATTAAAATACATAAATTCATTAAAAAAAAAAAAAGTCGAAGTTGATCCACATGTCTCAAAAAGTTTGCAAAAAACACATCCCTGGGTTTAAAATGCCTTGACACAAAACATCGCAAATGTGGTAAGCAAAAGAGGGCCCAAAACTTCATTCCATGAGACTCCACATCAAGTCAAAAACAGCCAAAAGTAATTGATGCTGTTGGAGATCATGACAGCACTTACCCCTTGAGATGGGTAGGAGCTAAACAGGACGCAAGCTCCCTGGAAAGAGGCTGGTAAGTTACTGACCTGCCGCTGATGACATGGGAACACTCGGTCTGTGAAAACCCATCAACCTATGGCTGATGATAATCAGATTATTCTACTGGGGCATCGGAAAAGTCACGACACATTTGTACATAGAGAAATACATCATCAGGACCGGCAGCTGGTGTAATGGCTATGTCGCTGGACCCCCATGTAGTCGACCATGGTTCAAGTCCTGGACCCGGTGGCTTAAACTCACGCCAGGCACGTGTGTGTGCGTGCCCAAGATCCAGAGAGGAGAATGGAGGAGAAGGGACTGCGGCGTGACCATCCCCCCTGGGGGTGATTTCTCGCTTTCTGTCTCTCTGTCTCTCTCTGTCTGTCTGGCGAGTGCACGCGCGCTATAGCAAAAAAACTCTCAAAAAAAAAAGAAAAAAAATCATGACTTTCCCGACGACCTAATATACGTTTTTAAGATTTTGTTTATTATTATTATTTTGTTTGCTATAGAGTCCATGCATTCACCAGAAAGGCAGAGAGAGAGAGAGAGAGAGAGAGAGAGAGAGAAGGAAAGTGAAAAAGCAAGTTACCAGGTCTGGGACTCAAACTGTGGTCAGTTATGTGGGTGCCCAGCACCTTACCCACCATGCCACCTGCCAGCCCCAGCATTTTTTAAAGTTTTTTTATCCCACAAGTGAGAAGGACAGAAAGAGACAGTGACAAAAATACAGTGTCCCAGCCGGACCCTGGAAGCCCAGCAATGATCCACCCCCAGCCTCAAGTGCTCTGCATACTCAGGGAGGTCTCCAACACAAACTGGTCACCTTCCCCTAGAGTCCTGCCTCACAGAGCTCAGTGTTTTACCAATGTGCCACCACCTGGCCCCTACGTGTATTTTATATGTCAATTTAGCTTGAATTAAGAGCAACACCATTATAGATGGGGTGTGGAAACCCTCTGCTTTTCTCTACGTACTTCTATAGTGCCACAGGCAAAAACGTCTGAAAGGACTGATCAATACATCAACTTTGGGGACCAGCAGTTAGCGTTAATAGCTATGTCGCTAGACTCCCATGTAGTCGACTGCGGTCCGCGTCCCGGACTCGGTGGCTTAAAACTCACACCGAGAGCGTGTGCGTGTGTGCCCAAGATCCCGAGAGGAGAATGGAGGAGAAGGGACTGCGGTGTGGCCATCCCCCTGGGGGGATGATTTCTCACTTTCTGTCTCTCTGCCTCTCTGGCAAGCGCACATGCCCTATAGCAAAAACCTATAGCAAATACACAAAAACCCTATAGCAAATACAAGAACAAAAGAAAAGCTAGACCTCTTGAAGTCTGGGCCATGGGGCTTTTCTTCTAATCCAGTGCCAACCTTAGGTGGGAAGAAAATTCCCAGGAAGTACAGAAAGAGCTTCTTCTCTCTCGGCCCCAGGCCAGGGCTCTGAGAACTCATGCATGCTTTTGGACTCAATGGAGAGCAGGCAACCCTGTACGAGGGGTGGGGGCTGGGAGAGGAGGGCTGTCACGACTCGACATGAGAAGGCCCTGTCCTCCTAGCTGAGACGCCGTGCACCCTCGGTTGTAACTGGTTCAGGCCTGAAGGCGACCAGGGACCCCGCCCTCTCCTCGGATGGACAGACGACAGCTGGTCTGCTCACATCCTCCGAAACACTCAGCCGCAAACCGAGGGACGCGGCCTCCTCCGTCCTCCAGCCAAGGGCTTGGGTTTCCAAGCAGCCTTCTCTGTCCTTCCCCAGAACTAATTTTAGCCTCCTCGGTTGTCGGAGTGGAACTCAAATAGCCTGCCGGGGAACATCTGCGAACAAGGGCCTGAGCCTGCCTCCAAAACGCCTCGGCTCCTGCCCAGAAACCGGCCAGGGAGGAGCCCTGCTGCCCAGGCTGGGCCCCTCAGAACGCTTCCCCCAGGAAGGCCACACGGCTGCCCAGTGGAGGAGCTTCCTCTCTGACACCCGCTCCCGGGGCCGCGTGTCCGTGAATGCACACACCCGCTGAAGCCGCTGCTCTGAGAGCTGAAGGCACATGTCTGAGCAGGGCAAAGCACAGGGCTGCCCGGGACTGGCCTGGGCAGCAGGGGGCACAGTGACCCTCGAACGAGCCCAGCCTGCTCCACACGCCGATGCCCAGTTCCGGCCACCGTCTCAGAGTCATCGCTGGCCAACGTGAACAGCCTCGGGGGACAGCGGCAGCCCTCCACCCGACAGCCCGGGCATCGGAGCAGCTCCACCAGACTGCCAGGAACAGGCGCCTCTGGGCTGGTCTGGACCCGTGAGTACGGTGGCAAATGAGACCGAAAGGGAAGCCCGGAGCAGCGGGAGGGTGTCTGTTTGGGAGCACAGGACAGGAAGGCAAGAGTGAAGACCAAGAACTCCGAGACGGGAGCAAAGTCTCCTCTGGAAAGACCCCAGAAGAGACGGAACTTCTAGGAAGCCTGGAAGCCATACCCAGCAACCACCAGGCCCGGGCCGGGGAGCACCGGGCATGGAGGGCTTAGAAACACTGCTGGCCGTGCAAGCCCAGGCTGCATCAGTGCCCCCTGCAGCAAGCCCTGTCTGGCTGATCGGGACTGAGAGCAGGCGTCCCCAGAAGCCTTCCTAGCAGAGCTAGGGAAGGCAGGAGACAAGGAGGGCACAAGCACGCCCTGCCGGGCTGCCAGGAGCAGCACCTGGCCTCCATAGAGACCCTCCTGCCCTCAGAGCGCCAGGCTGGCTGCCTGTCTCAGGCCAGCCCAGCACGCCTCCCCGGGGGCCAGAGGCAGCGGCCTGGCCCTGCCCTGACTCCAGCCTGGCCACCGCAGAAAGTGGAGCCCATACCTTTGGGGAGTGGCTGCCCACCTGCCCTGGAGTCCCTGGCCTGGGAGGTCCGGGCCCACAGCTGCTGCAGCTCCTCGGAGCGCCACACGGCAGGCCCGCTTGGGGGAAAGGGCATGCCCGCGTCCTGCTATGACCCAGGGCTCCTCTTGGCAGGCAGGGATGGGCTCGGCTCGCAGAGCTCCTGAGCGAGCAGAGAGGGGGTGCCGGGCAGGAGGAGAGCCCCCAGCAACGGGCTCTTCCTGACATTCTGCGCTAGGGAGGGAGCGGTTAGGGAGCCTCAGGCGATGGTAGGGATGGTGGCCAGCGGGTGGGCGGGTGCAGGCAGGCCGGACCGCGCCTCCCTGAAACCTGAACCCCCTGCGGGACACTCAAGGACGCCAGGATTCTCCTCTGCGCAAGTGGGACACGGGAACCACTCATTCCGAACCCCACTCTCACACGGCGGAGAGGGTGAGCGGAGCAGGGCTCTCGGGCTTCGAGGGGGTGGCTGTGCATTCGGAAGCCATTACCTCTGCCGCCCACAACTGCCTGCCTTTTTGAGAAACCGGAGAACGTTCTAGATCAGTTCTCAACCCGAGAGAATTCTGCACCCACCTCTGTCGGGCACATGGACGGTGTCTGGAAACATCTTTGGCTGTCACGATTAAAGAGGTGCGATGGGGGTTAGTGATGAGAGGTGGAGGGGGATGCTAACGCCCTCTAGTGCACAGGACAGTGTCCCCACGACCGCCCACACCCACACACAGTAAGGACTCATGGTGCAAGAGAGCAGTGCTCGGGCTGAAACCCTGCTCCAGGATAAGGCCCACGCGGCCAGGGCCTGCCTCAGGGCCTCTGCCTAGCTTCACTCTCAGCAGGATCGCCCGGAGCCAGCGGTGGTGGCAGTGGTGGGACGAGAGGACTGCCACTGCTCTACAGCAGGCTGAGGCCTCATGGGACGCCTGGGTTTGACTCTGGCCCACCCGAAAGGCAGGCACTGAGTGGCAGGGGGGGGGGGACTCCGGAGGTTGGGGCAGGGGGCCTGCCATACAGTAAGACCCTACCCTTTAAAAAGGATCGTCCAGGGACCAGCAGTTAGCATAATGGCTATGTCGCTGAACTCCCATGTAGTCGACTGGGTTCGTGTCCCGGACCCGGTGGCTTAAAACTCACGCTGAGCGCGTGTGCGTGCGTGCCCAAGGTCCCGAGAGGAGCATGGCGGAGAAGGGATTGCGGTGTGGCCATCCCCCCTGAGGGCTGAGGTCTCACTTTCTGTCTCTGTTTCTCTCTGTCTGTCTGGCGAGCGCACGCGCCCTATAGCAAAAACCTCTCCAAAAAAAAAAAGGCTCGTCCAGACCATCCCCACCTGCCTCCCCAGTCCAATCTGCGGTGATGGCCCACTGGCCTGACAGCCCCTGGTTCCCACCTGCACTCACGGGGACTTTCTACCAATGACAATGATGGCTGGAATCTGAACACCTGGGAGCGGGATCGCCAGAAACGGAAGTAAAGGAGAGGCTGTGTCCCGTGCCGGAACAGGGTACGCAGAGACGGCAAGGGAGGACCAGGCCGTGACCACCCCTCACAGCAAGGGGCCCCTGGGGACCGGTGCAGTGGTATGCACAGGGCAGCCTGGTCTTTATGGAGTCCGATCAGGGGCAGCTGCTTCTCAGATCAGTGCAAAGCAAAGTGAACACACATGGCGCACACATGCACACGTGGCACACGCGTGCACACACATGCACACACGGCACACACATGCACACACGTTTTTCCTAAGGGGAGGGTCTGCAGCTGTCGTCAGATTCTCAGAGGAGCCTGTGACACGGAAGACCACGGTGTCAGACAGGGCTCTTCGCGGGGCCCCTTGCTAAGGGGATATCCCGCATGTGAAGTGCTGGAGGCGACGAAGGAGCTCTGGGGATCCCTGAAACCCATAAAGACTCACAGAGCACACCAGACGCCCACCCACGCAGTGTGAGGCCATGGGGTCCCGGTCTGATGTCCTTACCCCGGAGGAGCTGGGAGGATGGAGAGAGTTTCTCTGAGTCTCTCTGCTTGGAAGGGTCTCTAAGATCTGGCTAGAGGGCCCAGTCTTCCCAAAGGTCAGCCCAGATGCAGCAGAGCCTGGGGTGCTTAGCAGAAACAAGACCAGGCCCACAGGAAGAGAGAAGGGGTACCCAGCTTACGGCCCCATCGCCCGTGTCCTCAGCAGCTACCACTCCACAGGACGGAAGAGCACTTGCGCTCACACACCCTCTTCCTCAGGGAACTAGACTGAATGACAGTGGGTCCCACAGAGGCCAGCCTAAGGGGGAGGCGGAGGGGAGGCGGGCCTCCCCGGCCAGTCAATGGCTTTCTGACACCCCACTCAGAACAGGGCCCCGCCTCGCCCCACAGGCCCTGTCACCTGCACCCCAAGTGCAGTGACAGAAGTCCAGAGTTCTTACAAGATCACATGTATCTGGGTGGCCAGGACGACCCAGCGCCGAATGGCCTGTTTCCAAGGACACCAGGCCGGGCACAGAGGATGACGGACTTGCAGAACTAACTTGATCTCGTGACCGGCAAGATAAAGGCTTCCTTTTCTCCTAGACATGCACGGTCCAACATGGGAGCCACTAGCCAAAGCCACCGGAACGCGGAGTCAGATGAGGTGCCCGGTACGGTAAGCGCAGGACAATGCTGGAGTGGGAAGCCAGCTCCAGATAGAACGTAAAATGTCTCATCGGCTCTTCAATACCGACTCCATGCTGAAATGACTTTGTATCTATTAAATAAGATGCGCCACTCCTGCTAATTCCACCTCATTGTGGGAAGACCGTGTCGTCGCTCCAAAATTTAAATGGAGATGATCCTAACCCCTGTGAATCGACACTAGCCTTTGAAGAGGAGGCCTCTGGGAAGCGATTAGGGTTCAATTAGATAAGGGAAGTGGGCCCTTACAATGAGAGGGATGGCTTTATTATACACCAGAAGAGGAAAAGCTCTCTCCCCAAATGCAGCGAGAAGGCAGCTGACACCAAGCCAGAGGGACCCCGGCCAGCTTCCAGCATCAGGCCACCCAGTCTACACTGCTGTTACAGCCCCGAAGCGGGCTGAGACACAGCTGCGGCTTCTTTCTTTTATAATATGACTACGGGAAAAGTTAGTTATATATGCACGGTTCACATTGTATTCCTGTCCGACAACTCTTAGACGGTCCTCCTGGTCCTCCTACCGAATAACTGGGTGCTACCGAGGTCATTCTAAACAGCAGGCCAGGCGCTTGAAGGGCAACCCTGAAGCCAAAAGAACAGGCGCCAGCTCTGCCCCAAATGGGACCCAAACCCAGCTGTGCTGCTGGCCTGTCCTGGGAGGAAGACCCCTGTAGGCCCAGACTTTCCAGGTACGCCCAGGAATCGGGAGCCCAGCAGGTCTACAGGGGCCTGGGGGACTGCTGCCTGCCGACAAAGCAGCTTGCAGGTGCTCTCTTTGACAGGCCAAGCCTTCCCCTTCACTTAGAGCCCTTTAAGAAAAAAAAAAAGGCATCTTGAAACCAGGACTTAAAGGGTGTGCAGAAAAGAACACGAAGCTCAGCACTACCACCGCTCTGCCTCCACCGCACTGGAAATGGCTCCTAAACGGACGCGACGCCCACTCCCACAGGGCCCCCGGGTGCCAGCGGGGTGGTGTCCCCTCTGTCCCCCCGCTACACAGTTCTGTTCCCCACTCGGACTTACTCGCTTTCCACGCAGAGCTGTCGCCCGGCCGCCGGCGTTGCAAAACCTGGCAAGCCGGGGTGGGCGGGTGATCCCCGGTCCCCACCCCCGCGGCGCACGGGGATCCCGGCCCCGCCCCTGCGCGCTCGGCCCCGCCCCTCGCGGGTTTCCCAGACTCTGTGCCACTGCCACCGCGAGCGGCGGGGGACCCGCGCTGCATGTGTAATGGGGGCTGGGAACAAAGACAGCAGGACCCGGCCCCCAGGCCACCAGCTGCCCCAACCTTCTCGCCCGAGCTGCGATGCCCGCTCCTCGCGTTTCCCAGGGCTGCCCGGATCCGTCCCCTTGCGCCCACTCGAGTTGGGCTCCACTGGGAGAGGGAAATCTTTGCCTTGGCACTGGGGAGGGGGGCAAAGCTCCTTCCTGGCGTGGCTCGGCGTGCACACACCGTACCCACACCCCCGCGGCTGCTGGCGAACTGCGTGCGGGTCACCCGCCCCCGCCACGTGCGTCCCGGAGGCCCGAGCGGACAGGGACCTGTTGGTTTTCCTAATGACCCAACCTCACCTCCCAGGTGCCCAAAACAAAGCGGTCCCGCGGGGTGTCCGCATCCCAGGGGCCACCGCAGGAAAGTGGGCGCCCACCGCCCTGGGCTCGGGGTCCGACGCAAGCTGGCGGCACGCAGTGCAGGGGGCTCCTCCGGGCAGTGCGAAGCAGCCCGGTCACGTCGCTATCCCTAAGGCTCCGAGGGGCTCGCAGCCCTCCTCCCGGCCGCTGCTGCACCAACAGTCCCGCCGCCCCCGGGGTTAGATCTGCCCGCCCCGCTTGGCCGCCTTCCCCACGCAGGCTCTCCCCACGCTCCGCGCGCCCTGGGAGCCTGAACCCCTGCCCTGAGGCCCCAGGTCCCCGCCTCCAGAGTGGGGTCGGCTCCGTATACACACCCCCCACACACCCTCACCGGCAAGATCGCCCCCACCCCCGCCAAACGC